GGGAGTTTACTCCGTTAAGTTCGGCTATGCCTTAGCAAAGCAGATATGCCACAACTCCAATGGCCCTTCTAAGCCCTCCGGATCTCCCATCCTTGGTACAGATTTTTGGAACTCCATTTGGGCTCTTGATATCCCTCTCAAAATCCGTCACTTTTGGTGGAGAGTGTGTCATAATTTGTTGGCAAAAAAGCTGGGTCTGTTTCGACGTAAATGTGCAGCTTCGGGTGAAAGTCCTATTTGCAGGAAAGACGATGAATCTGTGGAGCATCTCCTGTTCGAATGCCCATGGACAAAAGCTGTTTGGTTCGGTGGCTCTCTAAATATGCGAGTGAATCCCGACTCGATTACAAATGTGACAAGGTGGACCAATGACCTTTTGCAGGGAGGTAATTCGAAGACTGAATCCAAACGCATCATTAGCTCAGCTGCCACTATTGCCTGGTTCATTTGGAAATCTAGAAATGATTTTGTTTTTAATCATCAAGTGGTGGACCCTCATGTTACATTGCAAAAGATAACTCACTTCTGGCAGGAACATGACGCTCTAATTGGCTCTTTCAACCCTTACAATCAGGCCTCTGCCGTCCCCAACCGTCCTTTCCATTTAGGTTGGCAGCCACCTTCCCACACCAGCGTCAAATTCAATTGTGATGCAGCTTTCTGTCAGTCTTCCTCATCAGCTGCCTTGGCTGCAATCCTTCGAGATTCAAAGGGCAACCTTTCTGACTGGTTCTGCTCAGACTTGCAAGGCTTCGTCTGCAGCACAAGCTGAGGCACATTCAGTGCGTCTAGCGTGTCTCATGGCTAAAGCTCTTAATCTCTCGCGAGTGGAAATCGAAAGCGACAACAAATCGGTGATCTCTCTTTGCGTATCTGAAACAGTGCCACCATGGGAGTATAGTGCCATTATTCTGGACATTCAAGGACTTGCTTCCACACACTCTTTATCTTTTTCCTGGACAAGCAGACTCAACAATGCAGCAGTGCACTGGGTTGCTAAGGCTTGTTTTTCTAAGACATTACCTGTAACTTGCGCTGTATGCCCTCTTGCTCCTCTAGTTTCTTTTCTTACTTCTGATGTACCCAATTTGCCTCTTTAATTGAAAGCTTAGGTGTTCAAAAAAAAAGAAAAAGTGTTTGAGAAGGAGAGAAGAGAGAGAAAAAGTAATTGATTGATAGGTAAGAGAGATAAAGTGATTTTGGAAATTATTTTGAAAAATTTACAAACCAAACAAATTTTTTAGAAATTTTTTCCCAAAATTACTCTACAAATCTAAACCAAATATATCTTATAATTTTTTAAATCTCAGAGAGTGTATTTGTAATTTATCCAAAATATTAAAAAAAAAAATTAGGTCACCGATGTCTCTTAGGCTGAGCAACAATCCTCTTGATTGACACCCTGTCTGGATCCCATGTTCGAGAAAAAAAAAAATCATGTTTGGATAAATTATTATATTTTTACATTATCATATTTAGATGAATAAAAAAATAAAAATGTGACATAGAAAATAAAGGGGATTTTCTTCCTTTGCATTTTAATGGACCATTGTCATATTATGAAGAATTCATAATTAATCAAATTTATTTATCACCAAATCTTATCATTTTGCTGATAAATGAAACATATAAAATAATAGAATTATTTTTCTCATTCTTTTTCATATAACTTGTAAATTATATATCGAAAAAAGAGATATCTTTCTCTTTACTTTTTTTTATTTATTATTATTTCTCTTCAAATCAATAACCTTATAATTTGATGGCTAATTCATTTACACTCCGTTTGGACGAGGTGATTTAGTCAAATCACTAGCCATCAAATTAATTCATTTTTTTTATCCAAACATTTTACATGATTAAGGATCTGTTTCATTTATCAGCAAAAGTGTTGAGATTTTGTGAAAAATAGATTTAATTAATTATGAATTTTTCATAATACAAAAATTGTCTATTAAATTGCAAAGGACGAAAATCCCCTTTATTTTCTGTGTCACATAATTTACTTTTTTATATTCATCTAAATATGATAATATAAAAATACAATCAATTTATTTATTTATTTATTTATTTTTTCACGATCCAAACAGGATGTTAAATTCAGAGGATTGTGGCTCTGCCCAAGTGACATTGCGATCTAACTTTTTTTTTTTTATTGACTTATAATTTATTAATGGTGACTCGTGCGATGTACGGGTGTATGTAATTTAAAATGAATAACTTAAAAGTAGGACTGCAAAACATATGATGTGTTATGATTTTAGGTTTAATATTATCTGCACTGATTGTCTTTTATTATTTATTTTCGATAAAATTTTGATAACCAAAAAAATAAAAATAATTCATTTAAATGAACAAATAAATCAAAAACAACTATAGCGAAAAATCAATAAGTATTATATAATTGAAAACTATGTTTTATTATGATAAAAATAATATTCTACTGCCAACTCACAAACAAAACAAAATAAAATGTTGAATTATTCAAATTTTTTATTAAAAAAATAAATTAGATATCAAATGTAAAAGAGCAAAATTAAATATTACATAAAAACATATAAATCACAAAACTATGTAAACTCATCACCAAAATATCCTCGAAAGATAATATTTTAAGCAAAAAAATATGGATACAGCTCCTCTCCAGTAATTGAAGGGTGTAGGTTGGCATTGTTAGGCCCTGATTCGGGTCTATGGCGATAATCCAAATCGTTCAATATGTAGAACCATCGAGTACATTATTCCTGCAAAAAAATCACGTTGATCGGATATCGATAACCATTTAATTATATCACAAAAAGAAATTAGACTCTACTGTGGTCAAAGAAAATATAGATGCCAAAGAAAATTTAGAACAAGAAGACAACAAATCAGTGAAAATCAAACAAGTAACATAAATTAGTGGGAGTTTAATGTGTGCAGGAAAAATTCAAATGTCAGAGAAAATTTGAAAGAAAATCAAAGAGACAACTAACTAAAAAAAATCAGGCAATGCACAAAGAGAAAGGGAGTCCAATGTGTTCAAAGAAAATGAATCTAAAAGGGACATCTTAGTGTCAAAGAAAATTCATCTCAAAGGGAAAATTACACATAAGGAGACATCTAATTAGTGAAAATCAAACAAGTAACCTAAATTAATAACCTATTGTGAGTAAACAAAAAAAATTTCAAATCAGAAAAATTTAAAAATACAGAGAGAAAGCAAATCAAAGAAATTTCAAAACACAGAATTTTTTTTTGAAATTTCTTAGCTTTTTTGTATTTAAAGACATTTGGGAAGTTGGTTTTCAGCCACTGGTAAAATTACAATTATACCCTAATGGGTCAAAATGTGCTACATAGGTGAAGTTGTGAATATTTTAAATTGAATGGGGATAGTTTGATCAATTTATTGTGATTTGACATCATAAATAAATATTAATCAAAAAAGTCAAAAGTAACTTTTTACCAACATCCCAAATCACTTGTCTAAATAAGTCAAAAACTTGATTAAAAATTAAAAAAATCATTTTTTACCATATTCTCAAAACACTTCAAATATATCATTTTCATATTTCCTCATTCCTTGTCCACCCCATACTGCGTGGCAAAATGAGAGCCGAAAGGTAGAAAACGACTTTCTCTTCTATTCTTTTTTGAAGAATTTTTTTATTAATTGATGTATGATTTGAACATATTTCAATTTGTATAACCCTGACTTGATCCAATGAAATTACAAGAGACGGTGAGTCTTTGTTGGACACTCGTATGCTGTGTGCCCAACACACTCTAATGCTCAAATTAAATAGAGAGATTGGGAGGGATTTAGGCCTCATTTAGGAACTTAACTACTTTGGTTGATTTTCAATTTTTTAACTATTTTATGAAATGAAAAAAAGTTATGTTTGGGATTATTTGTGAATTTTTTTTATAGTTAAGTTGATGGTTATTGACTATTATAATATTTTTATTTTTATTTTTATTAACAATTTTAGCCCCAACTTGAGTTCCCAAACAGGGCCTTAATTAAGGTTTCATTTGTATGTAAGTGTATAGACTGTTGTTTTTATTAGGTTCAATTGCGTTTCTAGTAACAATGTAATTTAAGGAAATTTGTTTCTGGAAATTTGAATTCATTTTGTGCAAAATTTGAGTATTGAAGTGATTCTGTTGTGAATCCTGCAATAAATATTTACAAGATGGTTGGGACTTGGGATTTACAGTATATTTATCGAATCATTTTTTAAAATTATAGTATATAAAATAGAAAATATTGAGTTCAGTGAGGGCACTTGGAACCACTCACCCCTTATGAGCTTAGTGGCTCAAGATTTTTGGAGACTTTAGGCCAAACATCAAAATGAGGCCTTATCTCGCTAGGCTTTTGAAAAATTGGGGGCTTCGGTAGTAAGAATTTGTTGAGATAGGCCTTAGGTATCTGACTATGTGGCCTAGCGGTTGAGCCACCTCTGTGAGCTCCGGTCATTGAAGGTGCGATTGGTTTGAGTAGAATTCAGGGTATAAAGATCAAAATAACTTTATTGTGAGGCCTGAAAAGTGAAATTGGGTATATGTTGAAGAGACTTAATTGCCATTAGTTCTTGATCAGGCTTTTGTGAGAATCTGTTTTTGACAGTGTGCATTGACTGGAATTTTGGATTATTTTCTTTGATCAGATCAATGGTCAGTTAAAGGACACCTTCTTTACGTACATTCTAAGTTGAGAAATTGCATAGGACGATCCACTTTCTATGTTCTTACAAGATACAGACTCTGTTATTTAGATTGTTAAGCACTTGCCCATTGTATTGTGAATCATTTTCTGCTCCTTGTTTCAATTTCAGGAAGCATTTGTGCAATGAAGCAAAAGTTGAGTGTTGTCGGGCAACTAGAGACTTCAGAAGCTGTGGACGCTATGTAGAAAGTGTATTGAACTCATGTACACCATCACATCACATTTCTCAATGGCCTCCATTTTCCACCTCTGTTTCATAATTTTATTCATTTGTTAATTTTCGAGTATATAATAATAGCAATAAAGGAGAAGATCATGTCAGCAAGCATTCTTAGGTGAAGGGACCACAACCAAGCATGTAGAATAATTTAAAAGTACTGTATATATTTTAAAATTATGTCAAGATGTTATACATGTGCATTGGTTCAGCAACTTGTGTCAGTCTGTGGCCCTTCTCATCGAATGGCAGCAGGCGCATATAGTCTTTTGGCTGTAGTGCTCTACCATACCGGGGATTTTAATCAGGTATTTGTCTAACTTGTATAATTTTGTGATCACTGGACTAGTGACATGCTTATATTAATATAATTTTGTTCAAATAAACTCAAGTGCTTTGCATTTAAATTTTCGTATGATAAACACATTAATCTACTATGTTTATACCAAAATGTGAACAGCATGCCCATACATGGGCCATATAGTCTTGAAGCTGGACAAGCCTATAGAAAGCTATGATCATGTGAGCACATCTATAATGGTCCACAAAAATTTATTAAGATTTAGAGGACGATATAAATGCAACAAAATGGAAGTGAATGGTTCAGAACCTAAAAACAGAAAGGAAAAATGTTGTGTTGCTGCCTTGCTACCTCATCACACCATATTTGGCTTTACCTATCCTATCAAGTTTGTGACTTTGGGGGACACATAATAGCAACATGTGGATTTCCAAGGCCAAGAGGAACAATAGAGATTAACAAGTATACAAAGGAATAGTACGAAATTGCTCACTCTAGTTCGGTATCATGTCAAAATTGCAGCAGGGAACATGTATTTGTAAGTGTGCTTTACTCATTGCATGCTGCACGCACCATTTAGAAAACAAAGGTCATTCATCTCCACGGCCAACCTATATCCTCTGAATTAGCATGGAAAACAACTACTTAGGGCTGTAGATGTCAAAGTAATCTTACTACATATCCCATTTAATGGGTGACAATTTGCAAAAGACAACCTTGGCAGAAGTGGATTATGCAAGATAAAGTATGGAGATAAAAGAACAATTAAACTGCAAGTATTGAGTCGCTTCTTTGATAAATTTAACCAGATTTTCATTTCGAGTATAACTTCTGTTTCACTTAATAATTACAAATATAAATGTCATCTAGAGATTCCGATTGACTTGTGATTGATTGTACTGACCTCATTTACTTTAATTAGGCTACTATCTATCAGCAAAAAGCTTTGGATATCAATGAGAGAGAGTTTGGACTTGATCATCCAGATACAATGAAGAGTTATGGAGACCTAGCTGTTTTTTACTATCGGCTCCAACACACAGAACTAGCCTTGAAGTATGCCTTAAGAGTATTTCGTATCCTAAGCTTTTCTCCTTAGTGTAGTGTTGCTACTCTTTTTGTTTAATATCACACTCACTTCTTTGATTCTCTGATCAGTACTTGTTATCTCTATTGTCTTGTGCTATGTTCCCTGTGTCTCTTGCACATATTAAGAGATATGAACTCCACATGGAATTAACTTTTGAACTACTTGAATTCTTGAAACTCAAAATTAATTCAAGATTGCTGGGAAAGTGAAAAGTCAATTTGCACTGTTTTGAATGTGGTTGAAATAGCATAATGATTTTCAATTGATTCAGATTCTATTTGTTCACGGAAATGGAGGAGCAGTAGATATTTTGCAAAACTGCTCTGGTGAAACGATCCTTGGGAGTTATTTTATTTTAATTGATATGAATATTTTTGTTCAAGCTGTAGTCCTAGTTGTCATTATTCAAATTTTTACGGTTAAGTATGGTTAGACCATGCACTTTCATCCCTATTCTGGGGTCTCGTAGTTCAGTCTACTTGACTGTGCCCCAGGCAAGAGTGGCTAATGTAGTTTTTCAATATTTTCTAAAGCTCCTTCTCAAGTTTTTACAAAAAAAAAAAAAAAAAAATAGATACAATGATGGTGAAGAAAATTAGATGCAATGGAAAATAGCACAATGTAAATCAGATCAAGTTCCACCTAAAAAGCAATCAAATAAAGGCCGTGTTAGAATTTACCATAAACCTACCACCACTACCACCTCACCTACTCCACTAAACCTAACCCACTACACCCACTTAAACCTACTCCACTAAACCTAACCCACTACACCCACTTAAACCTACTCCCACTATTGTAGTGCCACTAAAGTATGTTTTTGTTGTAGTTTTGTGACACTTGTTCATTGAAATGTCACTAGAGCCTTTTATGTTTGTTGTTTTGTGGCATTTTTCAAAAACGTGCCACTAAATATCATTTTTTGTGGCATTTTCTAAAAATATGTCACTAGTGTAGTGCCACTAAAGTATGTTTTTGTTGTAGTTTTGTGACACTTGTTCATTGAAATGTCACTAGAGCCTTTTATGTTTGTCGTTTTGTGGCATTTTTCAAAAACGTGCCACTAAATATCATTTTTTGTGACATTTTCTAAAAATATGCCACTAGTGTAGTGCCACTAAAGTATGTTTTTGTTATAGTGATAGAATACACTTGGGTGTTGTTATACTCATACACTACAGAAATAATATTTAAATAGTATAGAAGAAGAATAGAGGGCTTGTTTGGTTTGTATTTCAGAAACAATTTTTGAGAGAAAAAAGTACCAAAACACGTTTGGCAAACCTATTTCTGAAATATTCTCTGAGACTCATCTTAGAACACGTTTTAGAACTTCTCTCTCTCAAAACTTCTCTGAAAACGCATCTTCTGTCTTCTCTCTCTCAAAAGAACCTCTCTGACCTATCTCTGTGATACAAAGAAAATCATTCAAGGCAGTCCAACGGCTCTCTATCGGCTATGTGAAGGAAGACGATCCGCACTTGTACGTCAAGATCTGCACTCGCCCAAGTGCCTTCGAAGACCCACTTGCCTTTTCTGACCTATCTCTGTGATACAAAGAAAATCATTCAAGGCAGTCCAACGGCTCTCTATCGGCTGTGTAAAGGAAGACGATCCGTACCTGTACGTCAAGATCTGCACTCGCCCAAGTGCCTTCGAAGATCCACTTGCCTTCCTTCCATCAATACGCTGTTCAAGATTTGAGAAATCTTCCGCATTAGATGCACTGACACTATCTATCACAACTTCTCTGCCTCACAGATTTCCCCAAATCGTGCCCTAGCTTTGGTCTTAGTCAAACTAAATGAAATCTTCACACAATCGGGACTTGTAACATCAATGTCCTTCGTTTTTTTCTTCTGGGCTCTATAAAATGCAAACCAACCAGCGTCGAACCCCACCAAGAGGAAGCATAACTTCATCCTTCACTGCAAAAACAGAGAGGCCGTGCTGGTGGGATTTGAGGGCCACCAAAAGCAGGCAAGCAAGAGGTATTTCTAATGCATGACTACTTTTTTTTAAAAAAAAAAAAAATTCATTTGGGTTTGTTAGTTTTGAACAATGTATTGACTGATTCTGGTAAATTTTTGAAATCGTAGTCCATACAGTCACACACCGCATAATTTTCGAAATCGGTAAATTAACCTTAGCCTAATTTATTTGGTGTCTCATAGAACATATGTAGATTACAGATAGTTCTCTTTTTAGGATTAGCAATTTTGATAAGAAAATGGCTGTTTCTCCCCATTTTTTGTGAAAAGATGAATTTACACTGATTTCAGCCATGAATTTCGTTCCAAGGCAGTAAACAATGAAGGTGAAAGAATAATTTAAAGGTCCCTCAATTCTGCTGATATCATTTTCAAGCTCTCAAATAAGAAGGAAATTTTTGCCGGAAAATGCAGGATTTTGTGGTCATATACTGTAATATATCCTTGCATATCATGCAAAAGCTTGATGCAATTTGTTACACTAATCTAGAAAAGACAAAAAAAAAAAAGAAAAAAAAAAGAAAAAAAAAAAGAGAAGAGAACATGAGATTAAGTTGAATTAAGTCCTTTTGTCGAATAAATGATCTTTAATAGGAGGTGGCACATTGGTAATTCCCTAGGTCAAATGCTTGTTTAGTTATTTAGCTCAAGATTTCTTCATATTTTATCCCTAACGATAAACGCACCAATTGTTAATAGGTTGAGATATATATATGGATATGAATCTCAACAATCCCTTCTTGATGTATGTATTACTCATGGAGTTCATGTTGACAACACCTTTGTTTTTTGCTCCCTTATTATGTGTTATATTTATTACAAATTAGAATATTATCATTCTGTCTATCTAGATAGAATTTTTTTAATGGGGATGATGTTCCAAGAAGGCATCTGTTTCACAATGCAGACATTTTTCTGGGTTTAGGTGAACATTTATAAAGATTAAAAGGTTATTTATTTCTTTGTTTGTTTTTGGAAAATCTAATATAATAAGAAGAAGAAAAAGAGAAGCAAAATGACTTTTCAAAAAATTCATTGGCCTTTCAATTTTAACTCTGTGATTCCTTTTGTTTGCATAAGAACTATTCTACGCTCAAAATGACTTTTGTTTGCATAAGACAAATTGATCGTTATTGATACCTTCAAGAATTGATAATTTGGATAAGAACTATTCTACGCTCAAAACTATTCTACGCTTGAATTCATCGTATACTATCTTACTAGGTGATTACTCTCGTGAATTTGGACCTCTGTTAGTTTTATATGCTTAGAACTGGGAACAGTATTTCACGTTGTTACTTTAATTGTTATTGATACCTTCAAGAATTGATAATTTGGAATGCAATTTGTGTAAAGATACTTTGACGCCAGACTTTTGGGATATGGAATCGATAGCAATTGCCACACCACTTGGTTTACACCACAAACATTGGAATCTTATTTACTTTATTATACATTTGCACTCTTATTTTTTGTTTTGTATCATTTTGTGCTTAATTGATTCCGGTGAAGCTTTCATTCTGTAGATTAGTAGGCTTGGTGTGTGTTTTGTGTTTGTGAGCAAGCCAAGTCTAACATAGCAGTTGATGAGTGTTGCTTTTGTTGTAGTTTTGGCTTTTCAAAAAATCTTTTACTTTGAGAATATAAAAACAATGAGAAAATAGAAAAATGCTGCACATATTTGATGTTGGAAATAGAAGATGCAGTTTTGATACATTGAAAAATAGCAAATGTGAGGTTACAAAACACTACTGATTAGGCTTGTAAATGAGTCGAGTAGCAGTTTAGAATGTGTTAAAAAGTTTGAGTTGTTTATCTTTTGAGTAGATTTTAAAGTTTTAAATGAGTAGTTTAATTTTTATATAGTGGTAGAGTTTGCATAATGTTGTCAAGGCTAGTAGTTTTACTTGGTTGTGTTAGTGGCAATGGGAATGAGCCACTGCAATGTTTTCTCCATTTCAGCTTTTATTTTGGGAACAGTATACTGCAAATGAACCATTCAAGAGAAGGCTATAGATGACCACACAAATTCTGGTCAATGCAAGTACCGCATTTTTTCTAGTCATGTATGCATACATAAATTCTGGTAAATGCATACATAAATTCTGGTCAATACAAATTCTGAGAGCATTTATATCATCAATGACAGATCAAAAACTCTGTTTGGGATATTCGTACTGAAATGATGTAATGAACGTTTTGCAAAAATTAATTTCCCTGTTTGGATCAGCCTTTTTATTTTCTTCTTCAATAAGCTTTGAGTTGTTCTATTGGCAGTTTTCAATTATATTCATTTTTCTACTTTTGTTAGATTTTAGAGTGGAATTAATTTAATTTTTTATTCTACTAAAGTCAAAACTACAAACTAGTGTACAAACATTGTCAATGTTCTTTAAATTTAACCAGGGAACCAGCCAAAAATTCCAGATGGTGATCTCTATTGCATGGGCTCAAAAAATAGCCCAATAGTGTGTTTCACAGGAGTGGCATGGTTCTCACAATCTGACCCAGTTTTTGGATTTTTATCAGTTAGTGCTGTGGAGTCGATGTAGCTGGAATGACAATTCTCTTCAGTTTTATAAGGCAAAATTGATTTAGAATACTGGCAGGATTTAAAATTTAAACTATGAAGGTTTGAATATTGTATTTCACATATGTTCACTTAGAATAACTTCAATGATTTTTCTTACATTGACCAGAAATGAATGTCTAGAAAAAATGCGGTACTTGATTTGAAATATAAATTCTGCTCATGTATACGTACATAAATTCTGCTCATTTTGAAAATTCTCCTTTGATAATTCTGCTCATGTATTCCACATAAATTCTGCTCATTCTGAATTTTTCATTTTGATTTTAAGCCAGGCCAACTTTGTACTCCACGGTCATTGTTCAATACACCAAGGGCCAAGAGGAAGAGATCACCTCAACCATCAGTCAATTCCTCCACAGCTGAAAACGATTGTCCTTATCCGATAAACTTTTGCATGCGAAATCTCATATTAAATATTTGTAACATTCGTAATGGTTATTATTATGCATATGCTTCATGTCACGTACTGCCAAACTTTTTCTGGAACTTAAGTTGTTCACATAACTATAAACTGTAATTTGTTGCACTTGTATTAGGCTAGAATGGCTAACGATAATGACGACTTTAAGATGTGGGGGTCCGAAATTGTCAAGATATTTTTAGAAATATTGGTGGACGAAATAAAGAAAGAGGGTCCTTCCATGTCAAAGAAAGATAGGAGTTTTTTCCCAAGGCAGTGGCAAACAATTGATGATAAGATGACTAAAAAGGTTGGAAAAAATTATGGGCAAAAAAAATTGAAGGGTAAGTTCGCGCGTTTGAAGGCGAACTACACAGAGTTTGTTGCTCTGAAAAACCACACGGGTTTGGGCTGGGATCCAATCACTCAAACAGTGACAGCCCCAGACGATGTTTGGGAAAATTATGTTCAGGTAATTATTTGGCGCATACATTTAGCATAACCATGTGCATAGAGAAATAATTTTCTAAATGCTTAATTAATTAAAGTTTATAACTTGTAGGCACACCCAAATGCAAAACAATTCCAAACCAAAGGCCTTGGACATTATGAGCTCATGTCAGAAATATTTGCCAAGTCATTTGCCACTGGCGCTTTTGCACGTTCTTCTCGTCAGGGTGCATCCACATCTGATGACGAGCGAGAAATGGATGAACGCTTTCATGCATATACGTCGGGAAAAGGCGTAGTAGATGAATCTTGCACTTCCGGAAGTAAGCGTAAGTCTAGTGGCCAGGGTCAGTCCAGCAAGAACCCAAAAATGGACGATGCACTGCAATCATGGCAACGTTCATGTGAAGCACGTGAACGGTGTTACCTTCAAGCCGAGACCAACGCTGGGGCAGCTGATGTGTACTCCGTTGCAGCATGTATGACCATCCTAAAATCAATGGCCCTGGATTCGAGCTTGTTTTTGAAGGCCATGAACATGTTCACATCACTAGAATGGCGAACCATGTTTATGACCATGGAACCGGAAATGAGGTACCTTTGGATCCTCAGTTTGTGAGAAGCTTGGTCATCCCACTGTTCGGTGTGAGGTTTCTGGAAATGAAGATGCTCGCAGAATTGTTTGGGTGTATTTTTCTTTATTTTTTGCATTTGTTAAACTTAAATTATATTTGTTTTAATTTGTTTGTTTTTGTAATATTCGGTTTGGACTATGTTGGGTGTTGACCTAACTATTTATATCATGCTGTCTAAGTTCATTGGCTTTAGACTTACCACTATGTTGTCGTAATATCTTTTCGCCATGCTTTCTTTGTTGCAATGTCCTCATTAAATTTTTAGTGCTGTACTCATGTCATTACTGATAATACCTTGACTGTTTTACATTTTTCGCTTTAGATGTCGTCGTCACGACCCAATGGAAGGCAACCGAACAATATGTACGACCCGTACAGTGACGATGACGATGATGTTATGGACTTACACATGGTTTGTCAACTAACACGTGACATTCCTACGAGACAACCGCAACGTAATTGTCCATACACTGGTGAGCAGTACATAAAATTCTTACTAAGTGGAAATCCTAAATCAATCCGTGAACAATTGCGAATGGAAGTCCCGACATTTGTGGAATTAGTTAGACAGATTGTCCGTAGAAATGTTGTAGACTGGTCGAACATGCGATTGTCACTTGAAGAGTCGTTGGCTATGTTTTTATTTATCTGTGGTCAAAGTTTAGGAACAAGAAATGCTGGAGATCAATTTCAGCACTCAAATGAGACAATTCATCGTCATTTCGTACTTATGATGCGGGCGTTGGGAAATCTTGCGCCATTTGTAATCCAACCACCGAACATGGATGTGACCCATCATAAAATTCGGAATGACAGATGGTACTGGCCATGGTTTAAGGTAACAAAAACTTAAGTTCATTTGCATTATTTTATATGGCTTATTCAGACTGAAAATTAGATAAATTAATTCAAAGTTATGTCATGTAGGACTGTGTGGGGGCCATAGATGGCACACATGTTGTTGTTGTGGCACCAAAAGGTGACCAAATGCCATATCGAGGTAGAAAAGTGCATACAACTCAAAATGTCATGGCTGCATGTTCATTTGACATGAAGTTTACGTTTGTATACACTGGTTGGGAAGGTAGTGCACACAATTCGCGAATTTTCCTAGAAGCACTTACCACAAATTCTGCTGACTTTCCACACCCACCACCTAGTAAGTGTATTTGTTGATAAATAATTTAGAGTTTTCCTTTTTTTCACACCCAAATATGCCATGACATGTTCTTAC